ATGCGCTACCACGCCCGGCTGATTTTTTGATTTATTGTAGAGATGAGGTCTTGCTGCCCAGGCGGGTCTCGAACCCACGGGCTCAGGCAATCCACTCACCTCAGCCTCCCAAAGCCGTGGGATTACAGGCTGAGCCACTGAGCCCAGCCTCTGAGATATCTTTATGCTCCTTTTGCAAATTTACCCAAGTCCCCTGCCAAGATCATTGCAGCCAATGACAGAACTGGGAATTCAAATGTGGGTCTTCTGGTTCCAAATACCCTATCCATACACCACACCATTGATGCTATCTTTGAAAACCTCTATCTCCTCTATATCCCCAGGGTGTTTTGTAATTTCAATAGCACATTGATCCCAGGTCCATCATTTGTAACAGTTCTATGTTTGGCAAAGGGAGGGGACATCATCTTGTTTATTCCAGTATTCCCCAAAGTACCTACCATAGTCTTCTTTATTTACTTGTTTACTATCATATTCTCATTTATTTATTTATTTAGAGTCAGAGTCTCACTCTGTCACCCAGGCTGAAGTGCAGTGGTACAGTCATGGCTACTATAGCCTTGACCTGCTGGGTTCAGGCAATTCTTCTTCAGTCTTTCAAGTAGCTGGAACTAGGGTATGCACCACCACGCCTGGCTAATTTTGATTTATTGTAGAAATGAGGTTTTGTCAAGTTGCCCAAGTTGGTTTCAAACCCCTGGGCTCAGGTAATCCTCTCACCTCTGCCTTTCAAAGTGCTGGGATTACAGGCATGTGCTACCATGTTCCAGCACCATATTATTTTTTAAAATTTTATTTTAATATATTGTGTAGAGATAAGGATCTCCCTATGTTGCCCAGGCTGATCTCAAACTGCTGGCCTCAAATGATCCTCCTGCCTCAGCCTCCCAAAGTGTCTGGATTACAGGCATAAACCACTACGACTGGCCCATATTTTTTACATATAGTGTAAACATATCAAGGGATCAAAGTTAATTTAATTCATTGTGAGGTTTTTAATTTTCCTTTATGACAAATTTCAAAATTACTGCTAGAGTCAGCACCCCAGAAGCAGAAGAGGGTGGAGGTTGGAACCGCAGGCTCTACCCTGGGCAGGTCACTTAATACCTCTGTGCCTGGATCTCTTCATTTGTAAAAGTGGAAATAATAACTAAGCCTTCCTCATAGGATTAAGTTAAGTAATGTACTTAAAACACCAATCCAAGGTCTGGCACACTCAATATATACTAGCTATTATGTATTCCAGTGTCTCCACATGGTACTTTCAGGGCCACAAATTACTGATCTCAAAAAATGACTACTCCAAATCAAGAGAAATTTAGATAATCTGGAGTGTAACTTAAGATCAAGCTCACTTATTTAGTATATTTTATACAGATCTCCCTGGAGTTTTTTTTTATTTTCTTGAATAGTCCATTACAGAAAACCCTAAGTTTTCTGGGAAATTAATTTACACTGAATGACTCAATTTATATTATATGAAATAACCAAATATTAATATTAAGGAGTATGCAAGTGAGATAAGTTTCAGAGGAATTTTTTTCTCTTCTCCTTTAATTCTGCAATGAAGAACATATTTCCTAATCTAAGTACCAGGTGCTAGTGAAAAGTTTTTAGCAGCCAGGGGTGTCTCTTTGCCCAGAAGGTAAAGAACAAGCAGGGACCAAACTCATCCACCACCCATCTTCAATCTTCAAGGAATTTACAAATGCAGTCAAATGAATAAATACAAAGGTGTTTACTGACACTGATGACTTCAGTGGAATAAACTTGCCCAGTGGCTGTTGTGTCTCATCTTGACAACGCAACGGAGGCACCACACCTGAGTGAGTTATACTGACTCTTAGGGCAGACATGCTCAGTAAGTGAACGCCTTCCTATGCAACAAGTCATATTTTTCTTACTGGGTCATTACCGTAAAACGCAAGGGTCAGAAAAGATCTAAGCTACATGATTCTGTAATCTCTCCTAGGGCCGACCAAGGAGGGCAGGAAGTGCGGTCCTGAGCAACAGCAAAACCCATGCAAAAGCGAAGTTCCGGGCGCGGTTAAACTTAAGAGCAATCAAAGTTGCTTGGTGGAGTTAAACCTGGAGTCAGGGCGGTAACGAAAAGTGATCGAGGCTGGGGGCGGGACTGTCACGGACAGGGACCTTTGAATCTAACACTGGGAGTTCTGAAACTGCTCTTCCCATGGGCCTTGGCGACTGACCTGGGGCACACGCGCACCCGTAGACATGCAACCTGCCCCTGGGTGGGCCTGGCCTCCAGATCCCGTCTCAAAATAAAAAAGTTCATTCAAACAGGGTCGCAGTCTTTGAAACAAGCTGAATAAATGAATCCCTCCATTCTAGCAGCCCCCACAGATGCCCCTCATCGGACACCATAAGCACTCCCGTCCGCCCAAGGCCCCAGGGCCGAGGTTCGAATCCAGTCCAGCCCGGGGAGTCAGGGCTCCGACTCGGGAGAATGAGGTTCTGTGCCCACCTTGGTGCTGGGGTCCGCGTCGGAACAACAACTGAGGGCCACCTCGTCAGTGAGGCCGCCGGACGCAGGCTGCGGTTCTGCCATGGTCTCACTGCTGTATCACGGACTACAGGGCCGGGGAACACAGCAGACACCAGACTCCGCCCGGCCCTTGAGCCGCCTTGACTAGACAGGGCGCGATGGCGCCCCGGACAGGGCGGCTGCTGATTTCCAACCAATCGTGACGGCGCTGCGGGGCGGGCGGTTGCTGACTTTTAGCCAATCGTTACGCGGAGAGCAAGTTGACTCTCTGTTGATTGGGTCCCAATGAGTTAATGCCTCCAGCAGAGGACTACAACTCCCAAGGTGCCTTGCGCACAATGGAAGCAAGCTCTTTAAAAAAAAAAAAAAAGAAAAATGCAGGCTTGGGAAAGCGGTTTCTCTGTTATTTAATGACAATTTTGTTTCTGCCGAACTATTAAAGTTCGGTAACCACCCATACTTCAGGGCTGCAACTTAGTAGAAAATTGGAATCTGGTGGAAAGTGAGAATTGGACGTTATTCTTTTAAATGGTAAGTCTTCAGTCTATTTTCTAAGTTTGAAAAACACAGGGTAATTAAAACAACTATTCAGTAAATTTTGGTTCAACTGTATATTCGTTCTAGAAACTTGGAATAATTACTGACCTTCCTGACAGGACTTGGTGAAAATTAAATGAGATTTAAGTTGTGGTTTGACTACTTATGATCCAAATGTCCGTAACTTGTTAGTAGTGCTTTTTACATTAATTTTGTTAAGGCATATATTTTAATTGTGTTCACTGGAAGGCTTAGTCATCACTGTGAGTCTAATGCTGGCTCATAGTAAGTGCTCAATAAATACTTTCTGTTGTTGAAAGAATAGATGGGAATGATTGGTGTAAACATAATTTAGTTAACAAGTGAATAAATTAATAAGTGAGGAATGAAATGTGACAGAATGTTTCTAAGGGACTACGAGGGCCTGTGTGAATTTGCAAGAAAATAGATGTCAAGATCTGGTTTCCAAGGGGTGGGGCAAAATGGGAGTTTATTGGCTCACCTTACCGAAATGAGGTAGGGTAGGAATGTATATAGCACCAGCCACCTGGCCACCACCAAGACGTCTCCCTCTCTCATCTCAGCTTCTTGCTGCATCTCAGCTTCATTTTGTCACACACACTAGCCCCACCAGTCTAGAAATCTGGCAGTTCTCAGCCTCTCACAAGGAGAGGAATGATCTCATCAAATTCCAATTTGATGAAATCCAGGAAGGAGCTATGATTGCCCCAGCCTAGACCTGTGCTTACTCCTGTGATTAGAGCATTGTGATTGGTAGGTTGGGTTAGAACCACCTGGTTAGAGCTGGGGGAGAAGCAGTTCCCCAAAAGAAGAGGGATGTTGCTCTTATAAGAGGGGAAGGTTGCTGGGCAAATGGAACCATAGAGATCCACTTTAAAAAGATGGGCAGAATAAGATTTTTAACAGAAATTTTCTGCACGTCTGGTACTAACTTATTGCAGGAATTTCATAAAAATTTAGTGTACTAGAACTACAGAGTTTCAACGTGGTGCTAGACCTTAAAACTATGAAACTCACAAGGTGAAGCAATACATAAACTCTTCATACACTGTGCATTACCACTGCATTATTGAAAAGACACCCAAACTGTCTTTGTTTAGTTAACCGTTCTGGTGAGCTTCCCAGAATATGTGAGAGGTAAAGCATGTAAATGAACAGGAAGACACATGATAAAATATCAGTTTGTTTACAAATCAATCCATTAATTACAATAAAAATCCTGATAGGGCTTTTCATTAAATGGAATAAGCTGATTCTAGATTCTATTTTTAGGTACCCAAATAGGCAAAACATACTGAAAAATAATCTGGAACATTCTGTACCAGATAACATGACTTAGTATAAAGATGCAGTAATTAAGACAGTATAGTATAGACCAACAAATGGAAACTGTGGTAGACAGCTTTAAGATGTCCCTAACAATCCCCATCTCCTGATATTTGTAGTCATGTGTACCTCCTTCCCCTTGAATATAGGCTGGACTTAGTGGCTCACATCTAACAAAAAGAATATAACAGAAGTGATGAGATGGCGCTTCTGAAATTAGATTATAAAAAAGGCTGGAATTCATGTCTTTGGAGCTCTCTCTCACTTTCTTTTTCTCTGACCTCTCAAAAGGTAATCAAGTAGCCATGTTGTGAACAACACTATGAAGAGACTCATATGGCAAGGAACCTATGTCTCTAGACAATGGCCAGTGAGAACCTGAAGCCTGCCAACAGCTATGCAGTGAACCTGGAAGTGGGTTATCTACCAGCAGAGAGAGCTTTGAGAGGACCGCTGCTTTGGTTGATCCCTTGATCTCAGCCTTGTGAGAGACCCTGATCCAGAACTACCTCATTATACCATTTCTACATTCTTAAGTACACAGAAGTTATGAGATAATAAATGCTTATTGTTTTCAGCTGTTAAGTTTTAGAGTAATTTGTTGTTCATTAATAGACAATTTATATATATATATATGTCAGATCTAGTACTGAAGATCAGTAAGGGAAAAAGTGAATTTTTTTAAATGGTAAGTTTGTTGCTATTTCATGACTGAAATTTGGAGTAAAATGAGTTTTTCATTGAATGGTGCTAGGATAATTGGTCATCTATATGACCAAAAAAAGTAGATATCATTTTCATACCATAAAGGAAAACAGAAGTCCAAGAGGATTAAAAACATAAATGAAAAGGCAAAACTTAAACATTTAAAGAATAACATCCTAGAAAGTGCCCTTATGGATTCATGGTAGAAATTTTAAAATAATATATAAAATACAAAATTAAGAGAAAGCTAAAGCACACCCTAAAAGGTATAAACAAACAAACACAAACCTACAGACTGAGGGAAGGTACATACAATATACATAGCTAACAAAGGCTCAGTATCCAGAATATGTAAAAAATCATTACAAATCAATGAGAAAAATATAACTCAATAGAAAAAGTGGCAAAAGAGAAGAATAGGCAGTCTACAAAAGAGGGAACACAAATAGCAAACAGGCATATGAAAAATGGCTCCCATTTTCTGGTAAACAGGGAAATGCAATTTAATATAAAAATGAGGTGTATTTTATGTCCTTCAGGTAGAAATCAAAAAATTAAAAATCTCAATATCAAGTGTTGGTGTGGACGTGGAGCAACTAAAATTCATAGACATTTGCTCATGAAAATTTAAGAGATTAGAAACACTTTGAAAAATAATTTGACAGTATCCAGTAAAGTTGAAGACAGTTCATTCTAGGATTCACTACTAAGTATATAAGCTAGGAAATTACTGTGTCTGCATTCTGTGAGACCATATAAGAAGCATGATTTGAAAAGAAAAAGAAAAACAAGTGATAAAATCTAAATGTTCAACAGTAGGAAAACAGATTGTATTATTTTCAGAGTGGAATACTATATGTAAGTGAAAAATGAATGAACCAGAGTTATGTATTTAAACATGAATAAATCTTAAAAATAGATATGAAATAATTACAAGTTGAAGAATACATATAATACAATACCATTTTTGCAAAGTTTTAAAATATGCAGAATGATATGACATATTGCCTAGGGCTAAACACACATCCAGTAATGGTATCAGGAAGTGTCTGGGAATAAACACCTCCACATTCAGGAACATGATTGCCTCCAGTTTAAGAGGCAATGGAGGAAAAGACAGGGGAGGCATATACTGAGGATTTAGCAGTGTTGACAGTATTTCATAACTTAAGATGGCTGTTGAACAAATGAATAGTTGTATTATTCTTAACTCTCTGTATCTCTTATTTTATAACACGCTTTTTAAAAACTAAAAGATAGTAAGCACCACATATAGAAAAAAAGAGGAGACAGCGATAGTGTGAAAGGAATAGTTTAGAAATGCTCCCTATTAGTTTGAGGCTGCCAATGATTGTGCCTTTGCATGCCAGCCTGGGTGACAGAGTGAGACCCTGACTCAAAAATAAATTAAAAAAAAAAAGAGGGGAGGAATGTGAAGAAAAACAATATTACATTTCTTATCTTTCTTTTTTTAATTTAATTTATTTTTTCTTTTATATATTTTATTTTAGTTTAAAGATGTGGGGTACAATTCAGGATTAGGTATACATGTGGATATCGTACAGGTAATGTTTGTGTCCCTCAATCCCCCAGAAATTTGTATGTTGAAATCCTAATCCCCAAGGTGATTTTATCAGGAGGTAGAGCCTTTAAGAGGTGGTTAGGTCATGAGGGCTGCAAGTGAAGTAGTGCCCTTATAAAAGAGACCCAAAGGAACTTGTTCTCTCCTCCTAGGACACCATCTATGAACCAGGAGGCAGTACCTCAACAGACACTGAGTCTGCTGGTACCTTGATCTTGGACATCCCAGCCTCCAGAGCTGTAAGAAATAAATTTCTTCTGATTACAAGGTTAAAAAAATAGTTCCTATTTGAGAAGACACAAATTTCAAAGAGTTTAGAAGTATTGTGTCAACCTGAATAACAGAGAGAGACTATAACAAAGAGTATATAACCTAGGGGATTACTGTGTCTGCATTCTGTGAGACCATATAAGAAGCATGATTTGACTAGCAGAAGAAAAACAAGTGATACAGTCTAAATGTTCAACAGTAGGAAAACAGATTGTGTTATTTTCAGAGGGGAATACTATACATAAGTAAAAAAATGAATGAACCAGAGTTCAAAAGAAAAAGATGTTTATTTGTAAGTAGGGCATTACGATGAAAATACGTGTGCCATAGTAAACCGTGCATGTTCAGGGAGATGAAGGAAAACAAAGGTTTTTATTAATAAATGAAAAATGAGGGGATTATATAATTGTTTTGCACTAATTATCCTTGGCTACAATGATCAACAAGAGTGACACCAGTCTAAGGATAGACAGGTAGTTGCTGGGCAAATATCCTTGTAGAAGTATGTTTTTCTATAGGTTGTGATGGCCTTTGTGCAAGGCTGTAATTTTGCAGTCAAATGTTCCAGCTTGTCAGACCCTCCACCCCCAGTGGCTTCATTTTGATTCTGACAACTTTCAAATTTTCCTTTTTTGGTAGAAGGGGTGTATTAATTTTCCTAGGACTTATGTAACAAATTACCACAGACTTGGTGACTTAAAGCAACTGAAACTTACTCTCAATTTTGGAGGCAAGAAGTGTGAAATCAAGGTGTTAGCTGGGCCGTGCTCCTTCAAAGTCTTTAGAGGGGAACTCTTCTAGCTTTTGGTGGCTCCTGGAGTTCTTGGGTTTGCGGCAGTGTAACTTTAATCTTTGCCTCTGTGTTTACATGGTCTTCCCCCAGTCTCAGTGTCTGTATTCTCTCTCCTCTTTCTTTTATAAGGGTATCAGTCATAGATTTAGAGCCCACTCTAGATCAAGATGAGCTCACCTCGAGGTTTTTAACTTAATTACATCTGCAAAGACCCTTTTCCCCAATAAGGCCAAATTCACAGGCACTGGGAGTGAAGACTTCAACATATTTTGGAGGAGATACAATTCAACTCATTACAAAATGCACACATATGTTGTTTTATTTTTTGTTGGTAATAACTAAGATTAGGAAATCTACTGAGAGTATTTTGAAAATACTTTTACAATTACATTTATTTTCCTTAATAGACATTCTATTAGTTGCATAGGTTCTTATTGTTAGGTGTTCTGGGTTTCTGCATTGGCAGGGTTTGTTTTTGTTTTTTCAAATAGAATGGACAACTAAAAAAGTTATAAATGTGCAGTTACAGCCACAAACTGATAATCCTGTTCAGAAAATTATAATAAATATTGATAATCTGTGCACCTCAAATGCATATTCCCTACAATATCTAGACATTTCAGTTGGTGGTTTTGACATTTTTATTTCTGCCAATATGTCATCTGTCAGTCGGTGAGGCTTGAAATCAAATTCATAAAGTTAGAAATGCTTGGAACTGGAAGGGAATTTGAAAGTTATCTTAACTTCCCTATTTCTCATTACAAATAAGGACATCCAGGAATAGAACAGTTTCACACTCTGAGGGTTATCCAACTAATTAGTTATGTGTTGGGTAGCACAGTCCCTGATACTAACACAGGTTCACAGTTGACAAGTCTCAGTACTTTTCTTCACTACATTCACTAATACTAAACTACTACTGATAATAGCTAACATTGATTAAGCCATTCCCATGTACTACTGTGCTAAGTGTTTTTATATATGTTACCTCATTGCATTTTTAGGGACACTTAATTCTCAGGGTCTTGGACACTTAGTGCCTTATACCTGTGCTGTGTGGTGTTTACTTTCTATTAAACCTTGATGAGACTTCGCCTTAATGAAACTTCTGCACACATTTAACATACTTTCTGAGCACATTTGCTGTAACTCCTGAATATATGCAGAGCTGCCACCATCTGAACATAAACTATAGGCTGAAAACTACTGTGGAGCAGTGTAAAAGAAACCTCTCAAAGTCTCTCCCGGGTTGCAATCCTCAGGTAAGACTTCTGAATGCAAGTGACTTCATTTTTTTTAAGTCTGATTTTTTTCTCTTTAGTTGACACACCTGACTAAGATGGACTGCTCACACCACGTCAGCGAGTTACAGCAAAGGCATGAATGTACTGGAAAGGGGAGGAGTTGGACTTTGGGAGAAGTGTTTTCTTTTTCCTTTTATTCAGCCACCAGCCATAGGTTTCTGAGCAATCCAACTCACCAGGAATGCTTTATGTTTTCAAACGAATCACTAAAATAACTTTAGAAACTAAAAGTCAGAAAACATTATTTTGTGTATTTATGCATTTACACGTCAATCTCCTCAAAGTATAAACTGGAATCCTCCCAAATCCCTAGCACTGCACTTCCACCTGCCCCCAATTTCCATCTCTAGGAAGCCGCCCTACCTTGTTCAGGGTCCCTTAAGCAAAGTTTCAGTCCTCGGGGTTGGTAGATGAATTTTTTTTTTAATAAAAAAGTTTAATTTTTATTTATCAGAGATGGTGTCTCACTATGCTGCTCAGGCTGGTCTCGAACTCCTGGGCTCAAGCGATCCTCCCGCCTTAGCATCCCACGGCGCTGGGATTACAACCTTGAGCTCCCGCGACCGGCTCGGGTGAGTTGGTTATTGGATAGCCCAGGGGGTGACGGCGCCCCGCAGCCCGGCACCCGCCAGGAAGCAAGCGCCCTAAGGGGCCCGCGAGGGGCGCCCCGGAGAGAACCTGCCTCGGACTCCCAACGGCCAGCCTGGCTCGGTGGCCGCGGAGGCCGGGAGCAGCTCCCCCGGGAGCTTGACCTGGGTGGGCTGAGTCACAGGCAGCAGCGGGAGTCGGGGCATAGGTGGGTGAGTGTGCTGTCGGGGCGCGCTAGGAGCGGCGGTCTCGGCCGCCTCCTGTCCCGAAGGCTGCCTCTACGCGGCCTGGCGCCCTCCTTCCGCGGGGCTTCCGGCCCAATTTCCCTCCTTTGG